AAGGTGAAGGACTGTGTATAGCCTACAACAGTAATGATGGAGAAAACTTAACTTCACAGATCTTACTGCAGCTTGCTAGGGTTAAATTAGTGCTTTTGCAGACAAAGAACAGATATGACGTAAAATGCATTTATTTCAATTGCTATACAATGGAAATCTCAATCATTTTCAAAAGCCAGCTGAGGGAGAAGTGACTCACATAGCTTGTATACAGGAAGCTTCTTTGCAGTTTTCATTGCTGAATTGTTTTTCTCTGAATACATCACTTGTGTGAGTCCAGCTATCTGCTGAGGGGCAGCAATGTGTTCGGCAGTATATAAACATGGAGAAAGACATGGTTCCTGCCCTGAGGAGCTACAGTCTAAAATGTGACACGGACAATACCATTCCAACATATAACAATCAACTGAAATATCATCAGTCAGATATAAGAAGACTCATTTTAACAAGCAATTTGAATTCCAAATATATATATATTTATAAATGACAAAGGTAGGACAGAGTGGTGTCTTTGTTCTGCTATGTATATATGTTCATATGTCTACAGGCATGAAAGGTAGTGATGATTTGCTTGAGAGAGTGATTTTATTTTCTTTGGCAGGGTTGCTCCAGCTTGTGCTTCCTGATGAAAAATTAGGAAAATTAGATTAGAATTTAGCACTCCTTTTGTGATTTTACATGTCTGAACACTGGACAACATTGGGATGCATTAATTCCCATGAAACAAACAAACCCGGATTTGGGAGAGGTAGCCTGAAAGAAGTGATGGGTTTTCTGTCCTGTTGAGGCACTGGGTCTCCACATCAGCGCATGGCTGGTGAAACCTACGGCAACTACTTCAGAAGCAGAGTTAGCTGTGAATCCCACCAGTTCTAGTAAGAGCACATCGCACCCTGTGTCGGCAATCGGGAGGGAGTCCTGCCACCCAAGGGAAAATCTGCTGGGAATTCCAACTTTCTTGTAGGTTAACAGTTTTTCCCCAGTAAGTGACTTGTCTGATCTTTATTTCTGTGCAGAGGAGAAGAGACAACAGGAGGAAGAATAAAACCTGAAAATTAAATTTGAAACCACATACTGACAAAACCTGAGCAATGCTGGATGCTCATACATCTATACAGGCACCAATTCTGCCTCCCAGATGCTTCCTGCTTTGAGGTTTTAAAATCATATTTGGCCTAGTTTCTGAGGCAATCAGAGTAATTTTACAGTTTTACATATTTCTGGCCAGGCTCTTCTCTCTTCCACAGCATTCTTTTTAAAACATTTCAACTAAATTTGAGAGAGGGCTTCATCTGAGACATGAAGCTCCTAAAAATTTCAGTGAAATCAGTAGATAAGTAAGAGGAGAGAGAGGAATTCTTATCCCAGATGAAAGAGAAGCCGCAATGAGTCTAACAGTTAAGTGTACTTTTGGCCCATCAGTTGGGCACTTCCTGTACATATACACACTGCTCAAGCAGTACACACCGAGCACACTGCTCTTTGCATTGTTTTAACACAGGGGACACAGCAGAGAGTAAGGGGATACCGTGGGAAGATGTTGAGGAGTAAGCCCAAAGCACATCAGAAGTTTGGCAGGGAGGTGAATGTTGTAAGAGCGATGGGGAAGGGGTGGAAGGGCCTGCAGTATTTGATGGATATTAGGGATCACAGAGACAGCTGTGTAGAGAAGTCAGATTCACTGGTGCCACAAAAATGGGGAAAACTAACAGACTCATGAAGGTAAATAGTTGTGACTAACCTTTATGTGTCAAATGCATAATATCTTTTTTGATTTTGTTACGCTCTTGTCATTGCATAGAAGAAAAATATGTGCAAAAATTTCAAGATTACGTTACTTTAAGAACACTTAGAAACTTAACAGTTACCTGAAAACCTGTTCAAGAAAGAATGTGTCATAGGGAAGTATACTAAGACTCTTCTTGCTCTTCCTCCTCCTCCTCCTCCTCCTCCTCCTCCTTCTTTTCTTCTCCCTCTTCCTGCTTTTCTTCTTCTTCCTTTTTTACAGAAAATAGTTGTAGTTATTGAAGGAAAAGTAAATAGTCTTGAAATGCGGAGCTCTGCTTTTGCAACTGTTCTGTTTCTAGTAAATGCACTATTCTTTGAGCTCAAAAAACAGAACAGAGAAGTAATGTATAGAGCTTTTAATCTTAACATGCCAGGGCTCTAGCTTTGTGTAGTTAATAGGCAAGTGCTGGAATATAAGAACCCTCTAAGAGAGGTTAGAATACGGTACAGGGTTAAGCTCTAAACAGATGTTCAAGATCAAAATAAGAATATGAAATATATGTAAATGTGACAAAAAGTTTAGTATCTTTAATTATACGTTTTCTTGGAGCAGTAAACAAGTCAAAATACATGGCGCAGGAACTAGATTCCTGAATAATCTAAAAATCATTGAGAGTCAGATAATACAGCCTTGTTTCTGTTTTAAAAGTTCTTATTTTTCTCTTGTATAAGGGAGAAATGGCACAATTTAAAGGCAATAGGCTTTTTCTTCAGTCAACCAAATGAACAGTTATCTGAAAGCTGGCATTTATGTAACACAGACAACAATCTGCATTTATTGTCTTTTAAGAGCCAGTAAATGCAACTTTAAAGTGTAGTCCTACTCTGGAAAACATCTGAAAACGGCATTGGAGGTTTCTCTGATCCTTCTCTTCCAGCAAACTTTTGTTCAAAAGCACTCCTTCTGTGTGTATAAACAAGCTTTATCTCAAAATGTCATGCCTTCATATGCTACCTCGACTATAGAAAATATGTTAATTTCTTCCTGACATAATCAACCAATCAAAGAATACAGAATTAGTTTTCAGTCAGGACTGCAGGTAGTCTATGAGCAGCACAGACCTTAGGTTTTCCTCTCAGACACATACTGTCTGTATGAGAGTCACATCCGAGCCGCTAAAGTAAAATCCTATTTAAACATGCACTTGGGAATGGACCTGTTGTAATCAGAGTCCTGGTTTGAATCACTCAGGTCAGCTGCTTTAGAAGTTCTCGTGCCAAAGGAATATTGCCTCTTTTGGCCTCTTCCCCCAGGAAAGGTGGCACAGGGCCAGGCAAGCCCACAGACAAGCAACTTCTTTCAGCTATTAACAACTTCAGTTCAAAATTAAAGACAATTACCTTCTACAAAAAAACATGGGTATTTTTCTTTCTTGAAGCACTAGCTAGTGGTGACAGAGTGCTCTAACTCGCCTTTACAGCCCTTGCCAGCCTCATAGGGAGCCTCCACGCTTTGTCCATGGGCCCAGGAACTCCAGGTCCACAATGCACAACTCTGACAGCAGGCACGTGTATGTACACACGTGTATATATGTGCATGTATTGCAGTTTGGAAGTGGGACGATGTGAATGTGTCCTCTTATTAATTGGAGATCTGTAGTGGAAAATAGCCTAAAGTAATCATGAGTTTTACTGGGAACACTGAAGAAATATTCAAAGCATAAATTTGCCATGCTGGGCAAAAAGGAAAAGTGTATAAGGATTTGCACCTGGGTCTTAAACATTCTGGCAAGAAAAATATTTCCTTTATAAGTAGAACTGCCTAAATTGTCAGAATGATGCTTTCACACTCACAACAGTGAAAAGGTAATCAGCATGGTGTCAGTTAGCAGCTGTAAAAGATACAGTGGTCTTGGGAGTCCTTGGCAAACTTTATTAAAGAATCTGTGAAGGGTGATTCTCTTCTGTTTATAGTTTGCCCTATCTTTGTTCCCAAACAATATGTCTACAAAATGACCATAATTTTGTCTAGCAGAATATAATACTATTGCATTTGGTTTCATGAATAAGAATTTACTAACTTTTGGGTGAAGCAATGAGATTGAAAAGGAATTAAATGCATACGAACAAAGGATAAAAGCAAAATGTCCAAACAATATACTATACCCCTGCTTCTGCATGTTCTTCTTTGCTTTCCTACATAAAAGAAACAAAAGAAAACGTTGAAAAGAAAGAACATCAGAGGTCATACAGGCAAATCACAGCAGAAATTAAACATTGAATTTAGGAAAATTATGTGGAATTCAGTGGATTTGTTTTCAGATAATGTCCTCCAGATTAACTGACAAAGCACATTTAAGCTAAGCTTTTACTTTGAAAAAGGGCTATAAAATGATTAAGGACAGCTCCCTTTTCCTCAGTTACTTCCAATCAAATCTGCTTCACTGACAAGCAAAGCATTAGAGCTTGGGTTTTGTTTGCTTTTTCAGTTTGGTTTGTCGGTTTTGTTTGGATTTTTTTTTCATAATTAGCTGGTCTGCAAAATCACAGTTAAATCAGAATTATACAGAGTCCTATCTATGTTATATATCATCACTCAAAATCTGGCTTGCAATTCTGTTAACTGTTGTAGGCTGGAACAGATGCCTTGGCTTAACAGTACTGAGGAAGAAGAAATAATACAAGCTGGCTTTGGACTGCAGATTGAGCAAAAGTGATGAAGAGGAGATAAAAGAGAAAAAAACATAAACGTACAGTGAATAGAATTCAATGTTAGATCACACAGAATCACAGAACGTTAGGGACTGGAAGGGACCTCAAAAGATCATCTAATCCAATCCCCCTGCCGGAGCAGGAACACCTAGATGAGGTTGCACAGGAAGGCGTCCAGGCGGGTTTTGAATGTCTCCAGAGAAGGAGACTCCACAACCTCTCTGGGCAGCCTGTTCCAGTGCTCTGTCACCCTCACTGAGAAGAAGTTTCTTCTCAAATTTAAGTGGAACCTCCTGTGTTCCAGCTTGTGCCCATTACCTCTTGTCCTATCATTGTTTGTCAATACCAGCTGGTTATTGGAGAGAAGCCTTAATCTTGCACAAAATCCCAAATAGAAAGGGCAAATGCAATAGTGATCTCCTGAGGGTCACACCAGCCTGAGACAAAAAGCTGGAGTTTCTGGACTCCTGCCTCTCACAGCAAGGGCAGCAGAAGCGGTAGGGGAGGGCTGGAGCCTCCATATGCACCTACACTGACCACCAGCTGCCATTGCAGCTACTGAGCCATTGGAGGAGCTTCCTGAAATTTGGGACCCTCCATGCAGCTCCGCAATGGAGACAGTCACAGTTTTTATTTTGTCATCTGTCTTATGCTCATTGGCAAAGACTGAGATATCTTTGCCGTGCCAAGACTCTTCTAGAATGTTTCCATAGCACCGGCATTTCTCCTGAAAAGTCACTGTCAGAAAAAAGTCACTCACAGAAAAGCTGTCTGACTTACATCCTGCAGCAGGGAGTCATTTTCAAGCTGGTTTGAAACTGAGTGCTAAGTAAGGCCAAAAGGCCAATACTAGATCCCCACTGGTATATTAATTCACAAGCAGAACATAAAAAATGATGGCATTTTGGTTTGAAGGTGTCAAAAGAGCAAGGTGAAACTCCAAAAGGGACCTGACTACTGTTCAGAAGATGCAACTGCTTGGCTGCAAATCACAGTGGGCCACTGATAAAAAGGTCACCTCTTTAGAACTCAGTATACAGAGACCAGCTTTTGATAAGAGAGAAGAAAAAAGACATGGAAGGTGAGAGCACATGGAAAATATCTATTCAGTGTGGACAAGCAGACAAACAAGATGTGCTGGGCTGCACAATGAGAGGAAGGGACAGAAATACTGAAAATACTGTGTTGGTATTACATGTATCCTCTAGGATCTAACATTCAGCGGAGATACTCCAATGGCCATCTGAAAGTCTTTGAATGTATTTAGCTTCATAAAACCCTGGCCAGGTAAGGAAATGTTATTTAAGCTTTCTTTTATAAGCGTAAAATGAGATACACAGACAAAAGTCAGAATTCATCTCACTGTAGCTGCCTCAAAGTCATTATTCTCAACTAAACTCGTTCTCTGTGTGCTGTCTATAATGAATGAGAATACCAGAACTTCTACAGAATAATCCATGCCATCCCAACAGAAGAGATAATTGGGATGAGCTGTGGCAAGGCAGACAGATGCCATATTGCTGAAATGATTTGCCCTGGGTGACTTGGAAAGTGAGTGGTGGAACAGGGTGAAATATGGGTTTTGGGCATACCTGGCAGCAGCAGCCTGCAGTGGTAAGTACCCTCTCCAAAAATGAGCAAGACAGGAAAACAGCGTTTTGGTTTTTTTCCCTCCCCTAGCAGCTAATATACATGTGGCATGATGAAGGTGGACATCAGCGTTGGACAACTTCAGGAAGACTTTTCCTCCTCCTTCTGTAAGACCATGTAAAAATATTTTAACACTGCCAAGACTGTGCAGGTGAAAGAGAAGGATTTGTAAGACTAACCATATTTTATGCCCTCATAACCACAGAAACATCTGTTCAAACATACTATCTTGCCTGATACTCTTTCCTCTGTCACTTCTCTTCCTGTAAAACTCAAGAATACATCTTCCACTTACAGCTTCAATCCATTCTGTGAGAAATGGAGCAAGGTGCTTGTTGCATAGAAGTGATACTGCATTATGTCATTATAAAATCTTTCATACACAGCTGCTTGACAGATTTGCAGACGTGTTCCAGCATTCTGTTCTCATTTGAAAAACATTAGAGTAGACTGCCAGCCAGAATGGCAAGTAACCTAATCCAGCCAGGGGATGTACTGCAGTTTTATGCTGGGCATCTTTTAAGAGCTGAGGAAAAAGGTATTTGATGGCACTCACATGCCAGGTGAAATTCATAGTGACATGAAAAGTGCTTGGTTATAATTTAAGGAGACATTCAGTTCCCACTGAGAACTGTCTCTCCTCATTGCCATTTTGAAGTTTTAAATGGGGCTTCCCAGTGTCTGAGATTTGCATGAGGCTCCGTAAAAGGGTGCTTTTCCAGCCTAAAAACGCCTGGGAAAGGCTTACAGAGAGGTCCTTCCTCTGGGAAAAACACTGTAGCTAGATGGAAAAAAATAAAAACACATCTGTTTTGGACTTCAGTGAAAGAGGTGATGCATTTGTGACAGATATTCCACTGGGACCATCTGATTTCCAAATCACAAAAAAACCCAACAAGTGTAAGTGCTTGATCCAGTAGTAGGCCTGCCTTTTTGGGAAAAGAGTCACCTTACACTGCAACATCAAAATAAACCTATCCTTAAATGCCAAACTGTCAGAGTAGCAGGAGAAATAAACCAGCTGGATCCCTATGTCCAGACCCGGGATACATTTCTGCTTAGTCTCTCCTGGGTCTAGAACCTGGCCAGTAACATAAACACCCCACTGAGGAAGACGCTGGCATACCACAGAATGGTCCTTTTTTGAGGATTCTCTCCCCTTTTTGACCACAAGCACTTTACTGATGTTAACCAACTGCAGGACATTACATTAGGGAATTGAAGGAACTCAGGTGGCTTCTTCCAACAACCTCTAACACTGCAGTTTGAGATCTGCCCCTATCAGACCATGATGCAGGCAGAAAGGGTAACAACAGTCTCCATTTCTGCACGGTCCAGGGGTTTCTGCATGGCCTGGGGAAGACACCGTTGGATTTGGCTTGCTGCAACAGCAGTCAATGCTGGTACATTACAACAATCATTAACAACTAGATTTACGAGCGCTGCAGATGCTGGCTATCGATAGCAGCAAATTTCTCCACATATATAGGACTCAGATGTCTAGACCTAAATTATTCTCCATAACTAGAGTCTAGTTGCAAGTGAGCATTTTAAAAAAAAAAAGCTATAGTAGCAAGTGGTGTTATTCAAGATTCAGAGCAAAGCTCCCTGAAGTTTTTTCTGTGTTTCATATCATCACGATGTCAAAGGAAATGCATCCGAAAGACAACCAGGACCACTGTGCAAATGGTCTTCCCATCCTGAGGGACACTAGGAGGGCCTGTGGGTTGATGCTTCATGCACTTAGCACAGGTAAAACCCTCATATCACAAAGGGAAAAAGGAAAAATTACCTGTTGATCTTCTGATGATGACTGAGCAGACTGAGTCTCTTCACGAGCCTCTTCATCTCCCTTGTCTTCTGTGTGTGCCTCAGTTTCATCCGTGGTATCAGACTTGTCAGTCTCCTGGCAGCAAAGGAGAAGTTGTTACCCTCAGGACACATAACCAACAATGCATTTCTATGAAACTCTTGACTTTACAGTTTTGGGAGGTGTTTTTCTAATTTTGCTTCAGCAGTCAAATTAAAATATATCCTTTGGGACACCTTCCTGTGAAAGGAACACTTCTGGGCAAGTTGATCTGTTGGTAAAGGAATGAGGTTTGCATAGGAAAAACATTAACTCAGGCACTTCTTCCTCTTCTGAGCATAGGATATTCTCTGACTTCTCTGTGGAATGTTTAATAGAAACCAATGCTCACCTTTATGGCACATTTCGGCTTTAGAAAAAAAAGCCTTTTTCACCAGCATGCATTCCAATTAAACCTCAGCAAGAAGCTACAGAAAAACAGAAGTAATAAAGGATTTCATTTATAGTCTCTTAACTTTCTTGTTTAAAATTATCAGAAACGGACGTCAATCTATCAAATCCATTTATTCCAGCACTGTGAACAAGCACCTGCTAGAAGGCTCTTTATGTTAAGTTCTGTTGTACTTTCAGCTAGGTAGCTGTGAAAGGTCACACTGGATCACACACTGTCAGATAAAAGGAGGCCCATACAGCCTTGAGTGGAATAACAGAAATAGGATGAAATGCAATAGCATGAAGTGCAAAGTCACATTATCTGGGACAGGTAGTTCTGGGACTGAGATGAGAAACAGATGTTTCTACTGCACTTTGGGAGCTTGTTAGTTGACGATCATCAAAGAAGAAAAAGATGGTTGTATTTAAATAATCACAGAATAACTAAGCCACAAATGTGATGCAATAGTGAAAGAGGAAAAAAATGTGATCCTCAGATGTATGAGATGAGGTATAGCTGGTGGAGCTGAAAGCGAATATTAATATCATTGTATAAGGCCAAGGTGAAACCTCCCCTGGCTCACTCTGTGCTGTTCCAGTCACTCAGGCTCAAGAAAGAGAAAATCAGACTGGAACAGGTGCAGAGAGGGGCTACAGGAATATTTGAGGGAGAGCCTGTCTTATGAAAGGGTGTCAAAAAAAGCTTCATTACTTTAATCTATTGAAAGTAATGCTGTGAGGGGATATGATGGCGCTCTAAAAATAGATCTAAGTAAACATCAAGGAGGGATAGGATAAGGAAGAGGACTGAGGTTGATGCAAAAAGAGTATAAACCGGCTGTAAATAAAAATATTAATCAGCAGTGTCAAATTTTGGAAGAGCTTTCTAGTAGAGAAGTGGAGGCAAAGGACTTACTTCATTAAAAGGGAATTTGACCACTTCAGAGAGATGTTATCTGGTGTGATTGCCTCCAGCAACAGGGGAGGTCCTGTCCTGTGTCATCCTTAGCCCTACACGCTTTGGGCAGAGCAGCACATCTGTGATAGAAAACAAGCTCCTTTCTCATCCCTGTGATCAAACTCTTATAACTCATCCACCTGGTTGGCTTGGGTTTTTCTGCTTTTTCATAATTTTATTTGTCTCTATAGTTAAACAAAAGCCCTCAGTCATGATCCCCTGTCCTTTAAGCTTCACAAGTCCTCCTCCAGCATCCTCATCATATGATTTCTTCAGGCTATGTACTTTGCCTGCTGAAGCGTGACGCATGCATGGCTAACTGGCTTTTAGCCCCAGAGCAGAATTGGGTGAGTGCTGAATTAAGGTTCCTTGTCCCATGATGTGGTGTGCAACGTAAGACATGTCCTTTTGCTGAGGTGCTCTGCTGGACAGGGGCAAAAATGATAGAAAGAAGGTCAGGAATGTTTGGAAGCAGATATCATGACAGAGTGAAGATGGACAAAATACTTCCTCAGTTTTATCTTTTTCCCAAAACTTCACTGTCTGTAAGATTTGGTGCCCTTTTGGCAATTTTCTCCAGAATCATTGAAAATATATTTTATAAGTAAGGAGCTTATAATGAAAAGAGAGTAAGCTCATGAGCTCCCCTCCTCTCCCCAGAGAATAACATCATAAAAAAAAATCCTCAGCAAGCATGGCCCTCCCAGCAGTCCTTCCCAGCACTGCACTGCCCCTGCCCTCCCAGCAGCAAAAGCCTTTGTCGGGTTGCGTGGTGAACCAGAGCAGGAGGCTGATCAAGATTAAAGCCTTAACAAGAAAAACATTTCTATCTCAGGCAATTTGCAGTCTCCATTACACATCTGCATGGAGGTTTCTGCCAGCACATGGGGGATGCCTGGGGAAAGGGATGAGCATCTGGGAGTAAGCAGAGGCAGCCGGAAGGAGGAGGAAGGAGAAAAGACTACTTTTTTTCTGGCAATGCTGTCTCATTTCAAGTACACACAAAACTGTAGCCTCACTGCACTCTGATGCTGGTGACATTGCTATTAAAAAGAGATCTACAGAGAAACTTGTTTGACTTAATTTATATCTTGTTTTTCTCCCACAAACTAACAGAATATTTGATTATTAAAACCCACAGTAACACAGACGTACATTGAAATTCTCTCATGCAACACTGTGTTTATACATAGTTTTCTTAAGCAGATAACTTTCTTTGTAGTGATTCCTAAAATGAAAATTATAGTGTTCATGAAAACTAAATTGGTTACATATTTATTTTCAGCATGTATCTTAACATTTTAATATTCCACATACTCAATGTTTTTTGGCCGATACATAAAATACCTAAAGAGTAAAGATGGCATACTAATTAAAATACACCTGTTGTGTAAAACTCTCTCAGGTGCGTCACATACTTACTCAGAGCATAAGGCAAACAAAAGTTGCGGCTGAAAGAACCCAACTTTTGAAGCAGCGTGTTGTCGGCCAGGACACACATGCACACACACATACATGAACTTCTTGTTCATTATATGGAGAGCTGCGATATTTGGAACAACATCATTACATCAGCTCTACATAGCAACACAAAATTTTATTTTAACTAATTTAAAAATAAGTCCCCTTCATAAAGATTGGCTGACCAGTCATTTTCCCTTTAAAAATAACTAAAAGACTAAAGCTCAAGTATGAACGGATTTTGGGAAGTCAAACTCATGGATATTAAGACCAAGAATACTAAAATTAAGGACTTAAGGATATACAAGATTCGAAAACAGATCCTCAGCTCAAGTAAGTCAACTTCACTGAGTTCACAGAGCAATTGCAAAACTAAATGATCTTGCTACAAGTAATATTCCAGAAAAAAAAATTACGATTACTTAAGAAGATATTAGTAGAAAACCCTGTCATATGTGTCATCATCACCACCTCTTCCACACCTGACTTATTGTTCCAGATCCATGCTGCTGGAAATCAATGTCACGAGCCATCCATTGTACTTCATGCTAAGGTTGAATTGACAGCCTAATGAAAGGAAAGCAGAAGCAGTGCAGCAAGGTTATTTGTATGACAAAGCACAGAGAGACTGTCAGGCAGTGAAGGTGCTGAGAAACACCCCTGCAATAGATGCTAAAACAGTTATATATGTCCCTCTCGAATTCAGGAACAGATTCTAAAAGGGAGATGATGTAAATATACATTACATGGATTTTTTAAAAACGCTCTCACTTATTTCCACTTTCCTGGTTGAAACAATCTGCACCAGCATCAATGTAGCAGTTAATCAGAGTAAACCACACTTGCTTGCTACCAATAGCACTAACAGTTATCTGCCTAGCAGAATGTACCAAACATATTATTTTCAACATTTACAAAGTTGTCACGAAGTAGAAACTGTAATAGCCTCTGCTGACAGCTGGGAATAAATGAATTCTACAAAATTGCTGCTTTGCTTCATAGACACGCTATCTAACAGAACCTTGCATGAAGGAGCAGATAATATATGAAGTGGGAAGATGGAAAAATGCAATTTTCTTTATCTCATTGATTCTCCACTTATCTTTTATAACTATTATAATATGTAATACCTGCAGTCCTTTAAGCCTTTCGTGGCTTTATGGATGTTAATTAAATGAATTCTCACAAGACCCTTGTGAGGTAGGCAAGTAATTTCTATTTCCCTTGGTAGAAGAAGGCACAGCTAAAGCAGAAAGTTTAAATCACTTGCTCCTTATCACACAGGGACGCAGTGTCAAAGACATTTATAGAAACTGTGGCTCTCCCCTGGGTATCTCTTCATCTGTAGCTCTCAAAGCACTCAGCAAAGGTTCCTTTTTCTCTCAGCTTTTACAGAAGAGGAGAAACCAAGACACTTACAACAGTGTTTCGCTCCAAGTTGCTGCACAGTTGGCAGCAGAGTTGGACCAGAAAGCAGATCTCCCGTTCCAGGGCAGCTCTTCAGCCAGGTCACCACAATGCAGCAGAGTTCCCTGCTGTCACTCTGGCACATCCCTCTCCTGATTAATGTCTTTTGTTGAGTCACCCACGGTAAAGATGGCAACATTTGATTATCCTCTAACATGATTTTAGGATAATAGAGCTGTAATGCTCTCATTTACAAAACTTCTAATTAGAAGAAGACTCTGTTAAAGATAAAACACATTGCTTTCTCCAAAAGGGAAAAACAAACAAACAAACATACAAAAACCAAACCAAACCAAACCGAAACAAAACAAAGTAAGCAGAGAAACAGCTTTCATTTTGCCTGAAATACATTAGAAGACTGTCAAAATACAGTGGATGAAGAACAACAGGTAGATTTTCCAAAGGGACTTTGTGACATCCTGGGTAAGACTTTAAGTTCTCTCCTTAAGGCAGAGGGACTGAACCCCAAAATGCCAGTCTGTGAGTACACACAAGGGATGAAAGGGGTCCATACACCTGCCCCTCTGTTGGTAGCCAGTACAAACACTGTTTGCTCAAGGTTTGATGACATCTGGGAGAAGTGTATCATTCTTGTAATTAACACAACCTATAAATTGCATTTGGAAATTCTCATAATTTAAAAGCTGAACATGATAAAACACTGCTTTGTGTCAACAACGTTAAGAAAAAATCCGCAGCTGGAGGCATGGTAACAAGGCTGCAGTGAGAGAAGGGAAGAGTGAAGTATTTTCTACTATTTACTGAACCAGCCACCGGCTTTGTCCCTTAAGAACACTTTGCTGCACCACCATCTAATGTAATGCCTGTCACTGCCCCTTATTTGACATGCTGAGTCACTGCCTATCTTCATCTTTTATTAAAATCAACCAAATGGCCCCCGTGGAAGAACGGCAGTGCATACCTTTGTGCCTGGAGGAGGAGCAAGACCCAGGAATGAATAAATAATATTTTCTTCTTTAGCCGAGAAAAAGGATTCAAAATCCTAAAAAAGGAACAAATAAACAACAGAGAATTGGTAACAATAATCAAATAAAAAGCACAGGAGGAAGAGAATAGCCCAGGCAGATCTTTCTCAGATTGATGAGAATGACTATGCATTTGTACAAGTGCCTGCATTATCTAAGCCCCAGGAAGAAAACTCAGATAAAGGGAGTTTCACACTGGCTGGCAAAATGAACAAATGGGCAAATCTCTCCAGAGGCTCACGCTTTAATTATATCACATCTATGTCAGAATCAGATAAAATTAAGCATCTCATTTTAACGTGCCTCAGCTGTACATACCAAAGCAAAGCCATTCCCATTTTAATGTTAAAATAAAACTTGATGTGAGTAAGAATACCAAATAGGCCCTCAAAACCCTGGGCAGCTTTATGGCAAATGAAAGGTGACAGTCAACTTATTGGCACAAGTTAAATGATAATGAGGAAACTGTTTATTTCAAAGAAAGGTACTCTGGTTAGAAAATGCAGTTACTTTTCAGACAAAATTAGCAAAGGACTGTGTTGTTTCCTCTGACACATATGTACCCACCAAAATGCCTTGTCCACATTTGAACTGAAGTTATAAATCACTATGTTAAATGCCTGTTTTCTCTTCAGTGCTAACACAACTGAAAGTCGTGAGAGGATGGCTCGTATCCATCTAGAGCCTGCATGGTCTGTACTGTATTCGGATGTACAAGTTTCCTATCCGTTAAGGAAGCTCTGCTATCACTAGTTGGTTACTGCAGAGTTCATAACTCATCTTACACAGGGAAAAATCAACACTTATTTAAGATCTTAAATCACACAGTGGCTCTGTGTAGGACAGGGGACTGAACTCATGTCTGCTAAGAACTAGACTACTGCCTTGACCATGTTATCATCATCCCTCTCATCCCAAATAACTCCAAAAATAGAAGCCTGTAAATAATAAGGTGCTGACTCATCCTTGAGACTTGTTTGTAAAGCTGGGTTAGGACCTGAGCTGTTTTATTGGGCTGTTTTGGTACTTCCAGAGAATAAACTATTGGCCAGGGGTAATCCTAGGGAATGGCTGGAGTGGATGATTTAGAACTCATCTTAATGTCAACCAGACTAGAATTAATGACATTTCAGTCCAGTTTAGAAAAGGCAACATCACTGAACAGACAGGATAAATGACAGCCCAGTCCACTGCTTTATATAAGGGACAGATGAGCTGTCACACAGACCTAGCAACACGCAGTGGGAACTGAGGGGTCTGGGAGAAGCCCCAGAGCACATTGCCCTGCCCAGGCAGGATACCTGCTGCTGCTCCAGACCACTCATCTCTCAAACCATCTCTTTGCTGTTTTCATGTTGCTGCTGGGTTCTCCTTCCTACCTAACTCAAGTCTGCCCTAAGTATTTAAGAAAGCCAGTGTCTGAAGTCTAACGCATAAACTTAGGAGTGATACAGCAAACAAGTTGTCCTGGTTTGAGCTAAATAGAACTTATTTTCTATTTAGTAATTTTACTTTTCAGCTCAGTCTCTTTTAAGTGGCTGAACTTGCTGAAAACTAGCAGCATGCTTTTCCAGTATGTGCTGCTAGAAGATAAGGTCAAGGTTAATTGTCTCATCATGGGTGCTGTGTCTGCACCTACAGGGGAGAAAGCAGACCCAAAACTGACCACCTAGGTATTCCATCACACACACGTCATACTCGGTATAAAGCCGAGGGATCACGAGGTTCTTGACCCTTCTTCCATCTTGAAGCCCTTCCATCTCAGACCTTTCCATCCATCTCGATTCTGTAACAACCGAAGTCTGAGCAGAATCCTGCTCATTCGTCTGCCGCTGATTCTGATTCGTGTGTTCCTGCATCCTGCTCCCACCTGCTGCTGAGTTCGGTCTGGGACTTTTCCAGTGCCCTGCTCTGCAGAGCCTCTGGTGACGTATTCGTCATTGGGGGGAGGTTGGGGGGAGAATTTTATATTGGTTTTGTATATATTTGTACATAGCTGTATATATTTCATTATTTTCCTATTTACATTATTATCCTGTAGTATTAGTATTATTGTTTTATTAAACCTGTTAGTTTTATTTTCTAACCCGTAAAGTTTCTCTCCCTTATTCTCTTTTCCCTTCTGGGGAGGGGAGAGTGGTTAATAGAGAGCATCTGTCCAGGATTTAGTGGCCTGCCCAGCCCTAAACTACAACACAAGTACATGAGAATTTTCTATAATTTGAAGGACTAGGATTTGACACAGGCCTTTGACAGGACACACAAACACACCTGTGTCCTCCTGCATGCCACATACTCATAAAACAGTCTAAGTAATAGACTTCATGTCAATAGTTGGGAAACAAAGAAAAGACTATAACAAGGAAGGGCCATGAAATGGACTTGATATTTTACACATTTTGTTAGCTCCTCCCCAGAGGAAAAGCAGCAGACAGCAAGTGTACTAAAAATCTCCAGAGACACATAGTCTTGTAGATAACCAGACCTGAGGGCACAAGCAAGACATTTGAATGACCAGATGAACTCCTTATCAGAAGAGGATACAACCTGCTATCACCTCAGGTACTCCTAGGCAACTAGTAGTGTACAATCCCATAGCAAATGTGGTATCTTACCTTGCTTACACTGAGAAACAAGCTATTATGTATTTAGTGTGGGCTAAATGCATGACTACAGTGATCATGGAATAGTTTTTGTATATTTGCACTCTTACTTTCCTAATGGTGACTTGTTCACATCTCCATCAACTGAATAACCAAAGTTAACAATTTCCAAGGCGAGCAGTAAGAAAAATGAGGAGTAATAATTTATTCCAGGTAAGCAATAATATTATATCTGTATGAAAAGACATAAATGGTTTGGGTGGAGGGTAGTGATGTCATTTGTCTTTGGAACTAGTCTTTGAAAAATACAGTGAAAGGTATTTAAAAGAAACACTCTATGAGTTATTCCTTATGATATAAGTGCATATGTACATATACATATCCCTTGTATGACCACTGTGAAAATGCCAGACAGCAAAACAGCAAACTCCAATTCACATCAGCAGAAGGTTCTTCCCCATATGAGTGGTACCATGCCAGGCCAGAGTGCACAGACAGGGCATGAAAACGCCATCCTTGGAGACTTTGGAAACTCAGATGGCCAAAGCCCCAAGCAACCTAAGCTAGCTTTAAAGCTGTCCATGCTCTGAGCAGAAGGCTGGACTGCAGACCTCCAGAGGTCCCTATGATTTCTGTATGTTTGATTTCAGCAGTTATATGAAGCATCACATAAAAGTCTTACCTAATAATTCAGAGATACTTTAAAAAAACATATACATAGGTATTTTATTCTATGGATTTCAGTTTACAGAGAAAAGCATAGATTTCTCTTTACAGAGAAAAGCATAGATTTCAGCTCACAGAGAAAACCAGGAGCTTGAATTCCATTTCTTTCCTAGTTTTCTAGGGTTTCTTTGTTAAGCAAAAGCAAAGACAAGAGCATCAGAGTGCTCAATTTATTTAGGAAGTGACACAGATGCAGACGTCTGTCTAGACATGAGCAAAGAAGCAGCTTAAGAAAAAGATCAAATAAGAACATAATTGCCAACACTGATGGATTAGAATGGATACTTGAAATTGGTGCTATAGCCAGGCATATAAAATGAATCCATTTCTAATCTGTTTCTTCAAGTGGTGATACCAAAGATTGGAAAGAAAAATAAGATTCAAGCTATTTATAGGACAGCCTTAAGCTTCTCTGACCTAATGGAAAAGCTGTTCATGGTGTATTTTTATAAATTCATCCGTAAGAAGCCTCCATTTTACTGTACAAGTTAGGAAGTGAAGCAGCTCTTCAGGGTCAGGAAGAAGATGCAGATACCTTTAAGTATCTGCAGAAATGTAGGTTAGCAACAGTACTGCATCTACTTGCTCATTATATCAGTCTACTCCAGTGTGAAAAGAAAACCTCCTCACCTGTCCTCAGTATCCTCTTTCCTTACCCTCACCCCCAAAATTTCACTGAACTGCAGAAAAGGAGACTGAGAAAGACATCAGAAGACCATTTCTTCAAGGCAGGAACCACTGCACTACTCCCAGTAGGTGTTCCTCCAATCTAGTCCATCTAGTTCAACCTCCTGCTTAAAGCAGGGTCAATACTGAATTCAGACCAAATCCTTTTTGCTGCAGCCCTTAAAATATTTGAAGGTTGTCATGTCTCTCTCCAAATCCCTCTTCCTCAGGGTGAGAAAGAAAACCTTTTATCTTGAATTTTCATCTCCCAGGGCCAGTGCTCCAGGCCAGCATGCTGCTAATGTGTATATATGTGCGTGTGTGTGAATGGGAACCAGACATACAGGACAATTGATAGGAAAGGAAGTGAAGGAAAAGAGTGATCTCAGAAAGGAGAATGAACAGAAATTAAATGTAGCAAGTTTGACCTAAAAACCAAGGACTACCTGGGAATGGGGAAAGAAAAAACATATTAGGAAGGAAAAAGAAAAAAAGAAAATATCTTACAAAAAATGTGTAAAGAGCTTGATTTGTTGAGCATAGCAAAATTAAGATTAATAGAGGATACGATTTCCATTTACAAATACATCTGACCAGAGCTGTTTAAACTAAAGGGTGATTTTGGCACACCATGAAGTAGGTATAAACTGGCTGCATATACCCGGGGTACAAACTCAAAGGTTTCTAGATGGCACAATACTGAGGCCCTTGAAGACTTTACTAACAAGAGCAAGGTATTTTAAAGGGACTTTAATGAATTCAGGAGACTGCACTGGAGTCCATGACTCAGACAGACCTCTGCGATTCTCAGCCCTATCTTTAGTAAAGTGGCTGAGGACAAATGAAGTGGGACACAGTGGAAGAGTTAAGATACATCATGTAGACCTTAAACAGTGTAAAACAGTTCTAGATTTCAGAAAGATGGGTCTGTTGGACCTGCACAGATTATGCAGGGATGTAGAAGGCAAATCCCCAGCTTTATATTGTAGACATGTTGCAGAAGACATCGTGTCCCTCAGAGGAATTTTGCACCAGTCTGCCAGCCCCTGGCCATGTTCTCAATCAGTTCGCATAATCCCATTTCACACTGGCTGTGCAGCTCCCTTAAGGCACCTTCCCCTGAGGAGAAGGGTAAGGTTCGTACTGATATAAATCTCCTTACCTCATTTACTTGGAAATAATGATGCTATAAACTAAACTGTGTTATGCACCCACTGGGATCATTAGCTACGAGCTTTGAGAGCTTGGTACATTAGCATTCTGGAGGCTTTTAGGCTAATTGTAAATTTGGTTTAGTTTTTAAATCAGTAGCTCCTACAGCTTTCTGAACCCCTTTCCACACAGAAGTGTCTTTGCAAAGGACTCTTTCTTAACTTAAATTTATTTCAAGATGTAGATTATTTGACTTCCTGAAATACCTTCAGACACGGAGTAAAAACTGTATATCTTTCATTTACTGGCAAGGCGGGCCAGGTACAACAATTTGTAAGGCAATTACTCTTTAATTCATTATATAACCTCTCCAGGGAATATCAGAAATATTTACTGCAACATTGGCTGCCACAAAATTCAGAGTGAAATATATCAAATGATGCAGATTGAATACTGAAAAGCACATGAATGCTAACCTACCAAGTTCTCCTTTAAGATCCCTACAAGAAAATGAGGAAACAATTGCACTCCATTGCTCATACTAGCAACTTTTGCTCTGAGAGCACTGAAGTTAATTCTGAAAACTTAGTGGCATGTAAATCCCTTCTCTTTCAAAACAATCTTTGCAGTAGTTCACACTGGATTTGCGGAGTAACTTAAAACTGGGCTCACTATGTGATCTGCGTTTCAGAGTACTTTGCAAGTTCACTTCAATAATCATATCAGACTACTTCCCAGATTATATATTTCCAGCCAGACTATGAGAAAAAACCTGTTTCAGTTATCTCTTTTGATTCACAAACCTAATATTCATGATGGTACAGTATTATCTATCACTGATTTGAACAAACTCTCTCAGGAGAAGTAACGTATCACACACATCTATGAAAACATAAAAGCATCTGATGAGCATTATAATTTCTGTTATGAAGAGCTGGATATTTATTGAATAAGCAATATAGTTCAGTAATTCAAACCACATATTAGAACTATTCCAGTCAACTGTAATTCAGAGCTGCAATGAGAGTGCAGGCAGAGAGCCAACAGCAGGACAACTTGTGAGTGAGCTACACAGCAGGAGGTAGGAGAATGTGCGAGGAAAACACAGATCTCCTCACAGGCAGCAAACTCCATGCCTTGCAGTGAGATCTGGGTCCTGCATAGGCTCTGGGTCTGCAGGAGATAATTCAGGCAGTCTGCTAAGCAGAGCTTCTCTCATCAGTTATCCCTCTGTGTGTATTTTTCTCTTAGAAAAGGAATAATCTTTTGTTTCGTTGATTTTCTGGGTCTAAAAAATGTTTTCTAAAAATCGCTCTTTAAAAGTGAATCACAAATTGTCTTAAGGAGTTTGTTTGACACTTCCTGCTATTGGAAAAGAGTCACTTTCTGTGAAAGAAGACTCTCTGAAGCTATTTAAGTTTCCAAACAGCTTCTTACCCCACAGTATCGCTCCTCGTTGAAGATCTGTGGAGGGAGGGGAATTCCATTTTGAGGCTTTTTTTCACCTGGAACATTCTCTCTCATCCATTTCCTGTTGTCTTCATCACCTGCTATGTCCATTTGCTGAAAGTCAATCTTGTTGGCCTCTAAAAAACCCACTACTTCTTGCTGTTTCTTCTTGATCTGGTTAGGGAAGAAGAAAAACATAATTTCTTCTTGAAAAAGAAAATTGTTTTCTATAAGCAATTGCTACTACAAGTAGATCTGATGAATGTCAAGTTGGGTTCACTACTCCAATAGCCTCCAAACTTTTTGAAGCTGAGATTCAGCACAGCTTCTCAGCACCCAGACCATCGCCATTTCATCCCCTGCTCACCCAGCTTCTTTCCTTCCCCCCTGGAAGCAGCGATAGTTCTGTCTAAGAAAGGAGGCTCAGCAGGA